GCAGGAGGAAAGAACCCTACGAGCCCTCCCCGCCTCTCCCCCTTTCTTCTTCTTCTTCTTCTTCTTCTTCTTCTTCTTCCTCTTCTTCTTCTTCTTTCAAGTCTATGGATGTGCGCGCACATTGCTCAACCACCAACATGGAATGTAGTTGTCATTGGGGTGTAGTCTGTCTGTCTCTCTCTCTCTCTCTCTCTCTCTCTCTCTCTCTCTCTCTCTCTCTCTCTCTCTTTCTCTCTCTCTTTCTTTCTCTCTCTCTCTATCTTTCTCTCTTTGTGTATCTACATTCTTTCTTTTCTGTATGTCTATCTCTCTCACTCCCTCCTTCAAACGGATGCGTTGGGAAACAATGGACGACAGATATTTGTTAAGCAATGTATTCCAGTGTTGTATGGACTCATCGACGGGGAAACACAGATGTGCAAAAATATATAAGAATGTTTGTTGCTACGTACATATAGCCAAACTTTGGTAGGTGCCCGCTGACAAAACCGATGGAAGAAGTGAGGCCGTGTCTCTGCCTCTCTCTCTCTCTCTCTCTCTCTCTCTCTCTCTCTCTCTCTCTCTCTCGCTCCCTCGCGCGCTTTCTCTCTGTCTATCTGTTGTTAGCTCCATCTATCTATCTATCTATCTATCTATCTATCTATCTATCTATCTATCTATCTATCTATCTATCTATTTCGTTGTATATACGTATATTTCCATATGTCAAGATTGGCAAAAACCGAGCAGAAGAGAAAGTAAGGCGAAGAGTGTGATGCAACGCCGGATTAGTTTCTTTCGTTCGGGGGCAAAGAAGAAAAGTTGACTTTGATGGAAGGGAACTGGGGTGAGATGGTAGAGAAGCAGCAAAAACATATAGCCATGCTCACAGATGAGGTACACAAGCAGAAACAATTGGTGAGACACATGTCAGATTAGATAGGCCGCCTTAAATCACTGCTTGCGAAAACGACAGAAACTGCAGAACATAGAATATTCTTCGTATTCTGGTTGTTACTACCCGATCCAAAGTGTTTAGACATCACTCGTCTGAGGGAGGATATGACTGCCAGACTTAAGGCAATAGCTTAAACGAAAACAACTACATTTGATGAGTACCAGACATGGTTGGAAGGTGAAAGACGCAGGCGCACCACGGTGTTGAATCGGTTCGCTGCCCACATCACAAAGAGAACTGACAGAGAATCACAAGGATGGGATGTCGCGTATTGTGCCAGCACTGACAAGTGTGTGCTCAAGGAAGGGTGGGCATCGTATGATACTCAGGAATATAACACGGGTTCACTAACTGCTTCATCACGCAGCGTCGTCGTCCTCTTGACCTTCGCAGAAGACTGTATTCGCCACTATAAGGAAAGCATCGACCGGTACTCCTCCTACAGTCTCTGTGATGAGGGTGTTCCGACTACTAACGATGACGTTCCACGGAATATGAGGTCTCTGTTGAACAGTTGCACGAACGTGATGGATACCTTGCAATACACACGACGTAGGTTGGTGTCCGGAGAATTGACGGTGACTTGTCAGAACGGAGTTGTCATGGAAAGTCCAGATGTTGAAAGGACGAAGGCAAATCAAGAACATGACACAGCAAAGCACACCGCCACTGGCAGCACGAACACTGTCGGAGACTGCGCGTCTGTGGCACATGCGCCGCTGGCGTGTACCGATGTTAGCACACTGAATTATCACAACGTCCGACACAATTTTCCATGCGTCGTCGCTAGTAAAGCGTCACGTGGTGATGATGAATCTGTTGCAGTACCTATGACGACAGACACATTTGAACAGTTCGTTGAAAAGCGAATTTGCAACAAATGGCGAGGCTGGTTCCGGACTGTATGTCCCATCTCATATCGTATATGAAAGAGATGATGTTATAGGTTGTAACGAATGCGGGGCGGCGTGGGGGGAAGAACGAATGTCAGCCTTGCAGGAAAGAACTCCACATCAATGACCGCTTAAAAACTCTCTACACAAGATGTCAAATCGTGGATGCGCGGGTGGTCAGGGAATCGTGATCTCTCTCTCTCTCTCTCTCTCTCTCTCTCTCTCTCTCTCTCTCTCTCTCTCTCTCCACGTATGATGTATGTTGACTTCTGTGTGTATCACAACTTCTTCATCCCTGTTTGTCTGTGTATGACGTGGTTCACTACTACGTGATGTATCTGTGTTCACTGATGCTGTTTTTTGTCGTTCTGACCCGCAGTAGCGAACCTCTCTCTCTCTCTCTCTCTCTCTCTCTCTCTCTCTCTCTCTCTCTCTCTCTCTCCACATATGATGTATGTTGATTGCTGTCTGTATTACAACTTCTTCATCCCTGTTTGTATGTGTATAATATTCGCTGCTTTTTGCCTCTCCAAGTACATGTGGTTCACTACTCCGTGATGTATCCGTGTCCACCGTTGTTGTTGTTTGTCGTTCTGGCCCGCAGTAGTGAACCTCTTTGTTTCGCTGCATCAATCTCTCTATCTCTCTATTCACATATGATCTCTCTCTCTCTCTCTCTCTCTCTCTCTCTCTCTCTCTCTCTCTCTCTCTCTCTCTCTGATGTATGTTGACTTCTGCCTAAATTACAAGTTTTTGATCCCTGTTTGTCTGTGTATAATGTTCGTTGCTCTTTGCGTCTCCAAGTACATCCGCATGCGTCCATCCGTAGAATGAAATACCGCAATCCAGAAGACTCAAAAAGAAAGGTTGGCTACTGCGTGCCGCTCTCTCTCTCGGACTGCCATGTTGGAAAAACTGTGTCACGCAGTAGTGAACCGTGCTTGTAGCATTGCCCTCCACCATATTTTTCACGCTCTGTCTCTC